AATGCCAAAAACACGTTTGAAAGATCGAAACAACGAGCTTTGACGGGCCACCATCCTGGAAGAGACAAAACTACAAGTTTCTCAGTTCGGAAAGAAATCTCAAAGCCATATTATGCTTATGCTTAATGCCATCTTTAGAATATACAATTTTCATTCCGATTTCAAGTCCTTAAGTAATTCTTAAGATATTTCGGTTTAAAGTGTTAAAACAACTATTCAGAAATCATGAGATGCGGTCTGGTGTGATGTAGGTTTCAGAAAAACATTTTCTTTATCGTGCCAACGTTTCGATCTTTATTGAGATCATCTTCAGGGCCTTGTGTTGTCTGCATTTCAGCAAAAAAGTTCTCTGGTTGATAGCCGATGCGAGTTTCTTCTCATTGTTGGCCATGTCCTTCAGAGAACGTTTAGCTGCGTGTCCACATGTAGTTGAAATTTTGTTCATAGAATCCCATGTTCTTCGTTCTTCTCGTGTAGAAATGTGTGGTGATTGGTGACCGTTAATCGATAATTATTCAGAAATCGTGAGATGCGGTCTGGTGTAATGTAGGTTTCAGAAAAAAATTTTCTTTATCGTGCCAACGTTTCGATCTTTATTGAGATCATCTTCAGGGCCTTGTGTTGTCTGCATTTCAACCAGAGAACTTTTTTGCTGAAATGCAGACAACACAAGGCCCTGAAGATGATCTCAATAAAGATCGAAACGTTGGCAAACCTCGCCATCAATAAGAACTCTCCAACAAGATTACGCTGTTATCCCTTAAGTAACTTAAACTTATAATCAAAACTAAATCTGGATCAAATAAACACTAATTAGTGAAAAACAAAAATAAAGTTAAATAAATTTACCGACAAAGAAAATGTTTTTCTGAAACCTACATCACACCAGACCGCATCTCACGATTTCTGAATAATTATCGATTAACGGTCACTAATCTCCACACATTTCTGTTAGAACAACGTTTTACTCCGGAATATTCTCGATCTCTGGATGGTCTGGGTGAACAAAAAATTCGTCTTTTCACCAATTTCAAAATCATCATCAAAGCAAAACAATCTTAAAAATACTGTTTTATTGTTGCCTATCATCCTGGTCTACCTTTCTTTGCTGATTTTTGTTGGTTCGGGCGCGTTTCGTCATTTCGCCACCTTCAATGTTTGGGTGATATTTGCGACAAAACATTTTACAAATAATCTTTATAATTATCTTTATTAACAATTTAACAAGTAAATTTTGTCACAAATGTCACCCAAATACTGAAGATTGCAAAATGCCGGCACGCGTCTGGACCGACAAAAATAAGCGAGGATAGGCAGATTAGGTTGATAGGTAAATACGAAACAATTGGTTGATATTCCCGCAGACCACAGGAGGAAATATCACAATCTTAAAGACGTCTACAAATTTTCATAATTAAATTTTTAAGAGATGATTTCATATTTCTTGAAGACCGACTCAGTCCCAACTTATTTACCAACTTATTACCAAAGACTGTAACACTATTGCCAAATATGTGTCAGTCCTTGGCAATGTTGGAACTGAGTCAGACATCAAAGGGGTTGGAAATCTATTAAAACTTAATTATGTTAATTTGTAGACGTCTTTAATATAACTTTTCCTGATGATGACCTAAAAATAGACCTATAAAAACTGATTTTGTTTTTTTCACCCTCATCTTACCAAGAGCTAGATTATTAATGAGTAAAAATTAGTTGATACATTTAATACTTTAACAGAAACGTAAAAATATACAATCTAGAATATTTATACAATCTAAGGCCTGACATTCGGGAGTTCACCTCTCCAGAAAAACTGCATACAATTTTTCGCATTTAGTAAAGATTTGATGTGTGTGGTCCAAGATATCCTCCGATCAATATTTAATACTAAAAATTTTACTTACAAACTTGCTGGAAAGTTATACAAACATAGTGAACATGATTTGGGAAATTGCAAATTTGCTCTAAAAACAACAATTAAGTATATACAAATAATAATAAAACAATAAAATGAAAGTAAGATTTTAAAAATAGAAGAGATAATCATTAATAAAATAAATCCTGTCAACAATAAATCAAATAAATAATTCCTATCATACAGGAGGGCTTAACCCCTTGGGTGTCGCGGACGAGGTTCAAACCACCGTACAATACAATTTTCACACCATTATCAATTAAAAATCAAAGGATATGCCGGGATTCGAACCCAGAACCGTTTGTCAACGTACAGTCGGTCTTCAAAGAGACTTGGAACCGTTTTATAAAAATTTAAAGATGTCAATTTTTAGATATTTTTAAAATTGTTTTATCTTGACGATGTTCTTAAATAGGTTTAAATCTTGGGAGATGAAAAATGATTTTTTTTATTTAGACCATACCTAGATCCAGATTAGTTGTAAATCTTAAGAAACAAAGTGGCTATTTAGGAACAAAAATCTACTGAAGAACATTGACTGTAAATTATTCAGAAATCGTGAGATGCGGTCTGGTGTGATGTAGGTTTCAGAAAAACTTTTTCTTTATCGTGCCAACGTTTCGATCTTTATTGAGATCATCTTCAGGGCTCAAAGTGTTTGTCTTCTGTGTAATTGTGCCATTCTGGCACTTTCAACACGGCACGCAAGAATGGCACAATTACACAGAAGACAAACACTTTGAGCCCTGAAGATGATCTCAATAAAGATCGAAACGTTGGCACGATAAAGAAAATGTTTTTTTGAAACCTACATCACACCAGACTGCGTCTCACGATTTCTGAATAATTATCGATTAACGGTCACTAATCACCACACATTGACTGTAAAGCGAAAACGTGCGGACTAACGGAAGGAAAAATAATATAGAACATTAAAATTAAAGTAAGACTTAAAAAATATAATAAATAAAAGTTTATTAAATAAATAAGCATTATTAAAATAAAGTAAATACAATTTTCATACCATTATCCATTAAAAATCATGGGATATGCCGCGATTCGAACCCAGGACTGTTTGGCAATGTTCAGTCCGTCTTCAAAGAGATTGAAACCATTTATAAAAATTTAAAGATGTCAATTTTTAAACATTTTTATAATTGTTTTGTCCTCACGATGACCTCAAATAAGACGAATTCTGGGTAGACGAAAAATTGAGTGTTTTTTCATCCAGACCATACCTAGATCCAGATTATTAGTAAATCTTAAGAAACAAAATGCACAATTTAGTTACACAAATCTACTGAAACGCTTGACTTCTTGAAAACACCTTTGACTGTAAAGCGGAAACGTGCGGACCAATGGAAGGAAAAATAATATAGAAGAATAAAATGAAAGTAAGACTTAAAAATATAATAAATAAGTATTATTAACATAAAGTAAATTAATTCCTGTCTTACAGGATGCCGCGGACGAGGGTCGAACCACCTTACATTTTCACACCATTATCAATTAAAAATTAAGGGATATGCCGGGATTCGAACCCAGAACCGTTTGGCAATGTTCAGTCGGTCTTCAAAGAGATGTGAAACCATTTATTAAAAATTTAATTATGTCAAAGTGTAGTCATTGTTGTTGTGCCATGTGGATGACCTTAAATAAATCAATAAAAATAAAATCTTGGGATATAAAAATTGATTTTTTTTATCCAGACCATACCTAGATCCAGGTTATTCGTAAATATTAATAAACAAAATACGCTATTTGGAAACAAAAATGTACTGATAGACCTTTGCCTGTAAAGCGGAAACGCACGGACCACCGGAAGGAAGAAGAAATTGCAGTAAAAAAATTCAGAAACATTGTAATAATTTTGAATTTTTAAATTCCGCTTTAGTTTTAGAATTTCAAATGTTTGAAACGTGTTCAGTTAAGCGGAGAAGATGAAAGTGAAAGATACGAAGGGGAATACGTTACCTTCCCCGGTCGCCTGTAACGGTCAGAGGCGGATGGCGAAAGGGGCCGTCCAAAAGATGAAAATTGGCATTAAACGGTTTAGAACCGAGGTCGATAAGGGAAGGAACGATCTTGAACCTGACTCGGTCGTAACTCGAGGAAAAGCCGATTTTCGAAGTGAGGCCTCGCCGACGGCCGGCCCCTTTTCCTCCGCCCCCGACTGGGAAAAGTGTGTCAAGAGCGGCAAGGACGTGCCTCCTGCAGAAGAATCGGCCCGATGTGACGAAACACACGCCCGGTGTTACATGAATCCGGTGGATTTCCATCCTGGGAAGGGAGGAGAGCCTGTTGCCCAATTGTTTGCTCCTTCTGTATATAAACCAACCACCTCGCCCCACCACCGCTAAACCTTTGCCTGCCTCCCCAAGTGCACGTTCAGGATACTTTCCACTTCGTTTTGAAGTCCTGCCGTCGACTCACGCCCACGTCCCTCGACAGGAAATAATCTAAAATATGTAAGTGAACGTTCTTGTCCGAAAAAACACAGTTTAATCAAGACTCATTAATTTTTCGACTAGCTACATCTAGCAAAAATATCAATTATTTTTTAATTATTTAAAGCAATAACTTATCATTAATGTACTAGCAATGAACTAGCCGAAATTACTTATGTTACAGATATATAATAAAATCTATAATCTGCATGCCGAAAGAACTACCATAACACATTATTTAAAAAATATTTTCATTGGATATTACAACTACACCCCACTAGTATAGGAAAGAAGCAAAAATAAGCAAGTGAAAAAAAAGAAGATTAGATTGGAGAAGCTACCCATAGACAGAACACAAATTATATAGAACTACATTGCACTGCATTCACTTTCACTATCTCTGTGCCTCTTTTAAGAGGAGCTGAGTGATTTGACAGGAAGAGCTTTTGAATGACTGGATTGAGAATGACTTTGTGTCACGAATTTTTCACGATGGATATTTAGAACTTTATGGCTGGTTTCATGGATCCAAAAGGATATTTAGGATTGTAGGATGGAATGTTTTGATTTGTAACGTATTAGAGAAGCCACATAGTTCTTGTAGATAAGGCCAAGATGTAAATAAAGTCATTTGTTTACCTTTTAGCCTTGAATGAGTCTAACGTCCCCATCAGCTCTAACGTGTTAAATCGCGTATATAAATCACAAATTAGTACCTTATTCTAGTAGATTCCTAAGTATCGAACCGGTTTGATATAACTGAAATTGATGGTAGGACATGTTGATCGGCGGAGAGTGAAAGTGATGTCTTCTTCATATTAAGTTTCGTTTCGTTCTGTACCCGTCAGTACGAATAACTTGTTACAGGTTATGAGAATTGACATAATTGGCTTAAGAGATTATTGCTGTGACATGTGGATATAGTGGTATATGCTTAGTAAGCTACTTTTTTAATTCAATTTGACTGAATAAAGAACGAGCGGTTTCTTTGCAACATGTAAATACCAACAAGGTTACTACTTTATAAAAAACAAAACATCGATAAACCAATATATAAGAATAGATCTTATCGCGTCTAATGCTTTTGGGAGATCGTTCTGTTCATTTAATTACCCGAGTATTATGATTGATCGATGGCAGATATTGAAGACGAAACGCTTAAGAGTGAATGAGTGGACCAGCAGGTGATAATAAACTATCGCATGGCTGACAATAGATCCAGATGAAGGATAAAAACTTTACAATGAAAATAATTTTTCTTAGGGGGAATAGTGGTTCAAAAATTGACATCAGATCAGATTTCCCTTTTCCATTTCACTTTTTTCTATGCGGGAATAATGAATAGATTGAGTCTGACGGGAACTTTTAAAACCGGAGGTAGTTTCAGTTATCATTTTGCATGAAATATCCTTCTGTTTTTAATATTTATAACTTATAACAATTGATAACAATGTTTTTCTTGTATGAAATAAACTGATAAATGTTTTTCTTTTATGGTAAAACAGCATTAGCAAAATCGAATTAGTGATAGCTTAATTCAACCACACTTTTTTAATTCATTAATTTTATTTATTCTTCTTTCTTCCTTTGTTTGCACTCTTGTTTGTATTTCGATGGATGGTTTAATTTTTTCTAACAACTTTTTCTAAAGGAATTTTCAAACGTACGACGTTTCGGCGTCCTATGCCATTTTCAAGTACATGATTTGTTTCTAAATATTATTTTTATAATTTATTGTTTTCGTAGAAAAAATTAAATTATTTAAAATTATTCAAAAGAAAAAATGTGTTACGACAGCTCAAATGGTTAGAGCAGGCGTATTAAGCCGAGGGTTGTAGGTTCGAATCTCGCTCGAACACTGGCTTTTCCATCTCAACCAAGACCTTAGATAAAAAGTATAATTAATTAAAACTAAATTGAAAAATAAACTATTTATTTGTTAATAGATGTGTGAATAACGCATTCAGCAAAGACACTTACTGAAAATCAATTGCTGAATGTCCAGGTCCCTATCTTAAAGAAAAAAAAATCTTAAAAAGTCCCAAATTTCATCAATCAAGTTATTTTCCAGGGGACAAATTTGCAAAATTTATTACCTAATAAAATGTTATTTAAAAAAAATATATTACTAGTTCTCTTCAAGTGATAGTAAAAGAGGCTGCAAGCTAATTCCTATCCGTGGTAAACATTTAAACACCAAAAGCAGTACTTTTACAATAAAATTATATATATAATTATTCAGAAATCGTGAGATGCGGTCCGGTGTGATGTATGTTTCAGAAAAACATTTTCTTTATCGTGCCAACGTTTCGATCATTATTGAGATCATCTTCAGGGCTCAAAGTGTTTGTCTCGAGTGCACTCTCGACACGACACAACTACACAGAAGACGAACACTTTGAGCCCTGAAGATGATCTCAATAAAGATCGAAACGTTGGCACGATAAAAGAAATGTTTTTCTGAAACCTGCATCACACCAGACCGCATCTCACGATTTTTGAATAATTATAGATTAACGGTCACTAATCACCACACATTATCTATAATCTGAAATTTAGACATTTAGAAATTTTGCATCCCAAAAACTACTTAATTAGCCAAATTTTGCAAACAGACAGTGGAAAATATATATTTTGTTTAAACATAAGAAGAAAAACTATAAGCTTACTCAAATGAGAATCAATTTGATTCCAATTTTCAAACGTGATAGTTTTAGGGTCCACGCCTACTTTCTGATCCTTCTCCAAATTCTTTCTGAGCCAAACTTACATTGGGTCTACCTAATTTCAGAAGAAAATTTTTTTTAATACATTAATACAAATGTGTGGTGTTTAGGGACCGTTATTTAATTCGGAGATCGCGAGACGCGGCATGGTGTGACGTAGGTTTTAGAAAAATATTTTCGTTTTCGTGCCAACGTTTCGATCTTTATTGAGACCATCTTCAGGGCCTGGGATTTATAAACATTGTTTAAATTGTACAATTACACGTAGGGTGTGGGAAAAAAATGAATTTATACAATGCTAGAAAATTTTATATTCAATCAAAGTATTTATTAAAAAATACAAATAAATATGATAAAAAAAATTCTTTAACAGGACTCGAAGCTCTGTGGTTTCTCAATAATTATGTACTGGATCACAAACAGTGTTACATATTTCATAATTTCCTGTTCATCACTGGTTATAGAGTTGGTAAAAGGTAAATGAATTTTGTTAAGGTATGATCCGCAAATACAATTCGATCGTTTTGTTTTCATAGTGGAGAGAAATTATTTACCGCCGATAAGCCGTATCGAGGACGTACTTCGTGAAATAAATTTTTGTACATTGAGTCTGCTTTTTTGTTGGTACCAATTTCGCCATTTTTGTAACCATTATTTGATGACCTCGCGTTTATAATCTGGTTCACATTGCATTCCAGTGTTTTTACATATTCCAGGGTTCTTTAAAAGGGGTAAATACTGATATAGATGACAGTAACTTATATTTTTTGGAAAGCTTAGGAGAGGAGCCATAAACACAACCACCCTTTCCATCCATCACAGGACCGTCTGTTAAATTATTAGCTCGTTAATAACGTTCACTACCGCCTTAAACAAGCACTGCCAAAACTAATTTTGATATTCTAATAATTGGACGAAGTTCCGCTGATTCAGCTGAAAGCACATTTATAGAAGTAACGAAGGGGGCAAACCTAGGATCTGCCTGATAAATTTATCTACTTTTTTAAAATTCAGATTGTTGTTTGCATATTCACGAATAATTTTGGCCTCAGTATGATATGGAAAAAAATCACAACCCCAACATTAAAGTGTTACAATCCTTAATGTTGGGACTCCGACGGTCTTCAAAGATTCTTGAAACAATCTATTAAAAACTTAATTTTCTCAATTTGTAGACATCTTTAATATTGTTTTACTCTGATGATGACCTTAAAATAGGTCGACAGGTTTGCAGATAACAACCAACAGTCATAAAGTCCTTGGGAATATTGGGACTTAGTCGGTCTTTAAAAAAAAAATTGAAACCATTAAAAACATAATTATAACAATTTGTTGACATCTTTAATATTGTTTTACTCCGGATGACCTTAATATTTGTAAATAGGTAGAAAGCTTTGCAGATAACGATCAATGGTGATACAGTTTTTGGCAATATTTGGCCTCCGACGGTCTTCAAAAAAATTTGAAACATTTTATTAAAAACGTAATTATTTCAATTTGTGGACATCTTTAAGACTGTTTGTTTTGCTGTGATGATGAACATAACCTAGGCCAGTTTGGCATATAGCAATCAATAATGCAACTGTTCTTGGCAATGTCGGGACTGAGTCGGCCTTCAAATAAATTTATTAAAAACTTAATTATGTCAATTTGCAGACATCTTCAAATTTTACTCTCATGATGACTTTAAAATAGGTCGAAAGCTAGGCATATAACAACTGAATTTGGTTTTATTTTTTTCATCCAGACCTTACCAAGATCTAGATTATTCATGAGTAAAAAGTATCGCTTCATCTAAAAATTTAACAGAACGTAGAATATTGGAACAAAATCTAAGAAGGATCTAATCGAGAATTTATAAAATAGTCACTCCATCGAGGGTTCACCTCCCCGGAAAAACTGCAGTTTACATAATACAATTTTTGGCATTGAGTAAAGATAGATTTGATGTGTGCTGTCCAAGACATTCTTCGATCAATAATTAATAATAAAAAGGATGAGAGGTCAAACTACCTTACATTAGAATTTTCACACTATTTTCACTTAAAAAGCTAAGGGATTTCCCGGGATTCGAACCCAGAACGCCTACCGTGTCAAATATAACTCGGCTACCGCGGTCCTCAATAAGCATTAATAATATTCTTAGATTTACCATTAGAAAAATGGTATATGACACTGTAAAACTAATACGATGTGTGAAAATAGGAAATTGTGTTGTCAACTATACAGAAATAATTAAGCTTTTTTTGAGGGGGAGTCTTGAAATACGGCACCAAACAACTTTTGATCATTTTTTTGTCAACAGAATCAAGAAGATATTCCAAAATATGTCTAAACTTGCAAATCTATCAAAATATTCAAAATCATATAACCAAGGGTAGAAAACATTTTATTTATTAAAAGGGACATTTGAATTAGACTGGGCAAAAATTAAATAAAAGCACAAACCGAACCAAATCGAAGGTGATTTATTTTGATCGGTTAACTAGGCTATTTATAATTGATCTGTCCATAATTGATGTAGTTTTTAGTTTAAATTGACATATACTGAAGTGTTTATATACTGTCAATAGATTGATTTGGATTAAGTTAAGATGGTAGGGCTCATCAGTTAAAACAATTTTTTTCTTGATGATGGTTGTTGGTCTGCGGGTAGGTGAACTCTGATGAGCCGGTATATCCTTCCTCACTGAAGGTGGCGCAATGCGTTTGAGTAAGTCAACAAACCCGCGAGTGAACACGGACCCAATGCCGGTTCAACAATAATTTCGTTTTATTTTACAAGTCACAATGTTTGTGATCTTCTTTAGGTGAAAGGTTTTACAAACTCATCACGGAGGGTCCATCCAAGAAAATGAGAAAAAAGGATTTTCATGGATTGACACTACGTGGTTAGTTTGTAAAGTTTTTGACTTGAAGAAGGCCCTGCGGCTGAAACATGTTGTAAATTGTAAAAACAAATGGACGAAATTTGATGATTTTTGAGTGATAAGACAGCTTAAATTGACATCGTCAATTGATACATTTCTCGCTAGCGTTTAGACAAATATTTTTCAAATTCGAACTGTATATTTTGCCTGAAATTGTACAATTCTTTAAGCATTATTTTAAATTGTGTTTTGACCGATCAATCAAGTCAGTTTTGGGTTATTAACCCTCTTCTATCTTATTTGTTTTTTAATTCTTTATTATTTGTTGCGTGCTGCATGTGTTTATCCTTCCTATCAAACCGTGTCTTGTTTTTCCAACGCTCCCGCATGCCATAGCCGATTCTTTCATTTGTCTATCAAAGTCATGAAACGGTTGACGGCAATTTCCATAAATAGTTCTTGGTCCGTGTATTCTCGCTGTGCGTATCGGTCTGACGGTTTTCCCCATTTCGCCATTATTCCGTGGTTATGTTTTGAATTCTCGCGATTGCAAATGGACACAAAATTATTTCTACAGATTCAACCACTGAACATGACGAAACGCTTCTGACCCAAAATACACCACGAGAATCGTCAGGCAAGTAATATGAGACAATCATACTTGCAGGAAAAAATACAAAATTTATTCCAGCGTAGATTTAACAAAATATAAATTAATTGTATATCTTTGATGGTGATGTTGAAAGGAAACAAGGAAATGAGGGTTTATGTCCTTCTGGCTTATTGTATTTCCTACAGCCTTACTTCAGTCTGTCAATGCGATCCTTCTCTCATCACAAGTTGTCTCCATTGAGCAGTTGCTTCACATTCGAAGATGATATGGGTTGCTTTGATTCATTGCATAATCTAAAGATGTAAACGTTATTGAATAAGATTATGTTGTGTAGATGTTTTCTCAGATGCGAGTGACCAGTAAATAGTCCAATAACTCCTTTGAAGAATCTTGGTTACAAAAGAAGTAAAAATAAATCACTATTTTAAATCATGGTATAACACGTTTTTAGTGATTTTTTTTTCGAGAAATATTTGGTTAAACATAATTCTTTAGACATTGTAAATAAATATAGAACCACTCAGGCATTTATGCACTCTACAGGGAGGGTCCTAACCAAGCAAAGATAATTTAAGGAATTATAGGAAATTTCATGCTGAACAAAAAAGTTCCTATAATAATATGTCCTCAAATGAAGCCTTCTATGAGGAAAACGCAAAAACTTTTAAAAATTGTGTTTTGTAGTTTTTTTTAAAGAATTATTCCCAAATGGCTCTGTCTCAAAATGAATATCGAAAAAGATCTATTTGAGCATTAAATTTTGAGTAAAATGAGACCACCTGCGCGTTTATATCTTAATCCGTTGCCAAGATATGATTTTTTTAAAAATACAATAACCACTTTTTTCGATAGAAAACAACCCACTTTTTTAAACGTTTTTTCAGTGTTAACACTTCGAAATAAACGTTGTAGGAAATTAAATTCTACGTAAAATGAGACAAACGCCAACTCATAGAAACATCGGTGCCACGATTTTTAATCAATTTTCAAAGTTTTGAATTTTTAGGAATTATATAAAAAAATCATATCTTGGCAATGGATTAAGTTATTATAATAACCGCATTTTTTCGAGAGAGAAAAAAACACTTTTTAATCTACTCTCAAGAGATTTCCTAAAAATTCAAAACTTTGAAAATTGATTAAAAATCGTGGCACCGATGTTTCTATGAGTTGGCGTTTGTCTCATTTTACGTAGAATTTAATTTCCTACAACGTTTATTTCGAAGTGTTAACACTGAATAAACGATTAAAAAGTGGTTTTTTTTGTCTCTCGAGAAAAGTGGTTATTATATTAAAAAAATCTTATCTTGGCAACGGATTAAGTTAAAAACGTGCGGTTGGTCCCAGTTTACTCAAAATTTAATGCTCGAATAGGTTTTTTTTTTCGATATGTAATTTGCGACAGAGCCATTTGGAAATAATTCTTCAAAAAAGCTACAAAACACAAGTTTTAGAAGTTTTTGCGTTCTTCTCATAGAAGGCTTCATTTGAGGACCTATCATTATAGGCACTTTTTGTTCAGCATAAAATTTCCTATAAATCCTCAAAGTATCTTTGTTCCGAAAAAAACTCGTATGTCCAAGCGTATCCAGTTTACGTAAGTCAGAAAGTTACTAGTTGTTAAAATGAAAAATTGAACTGGTAGTCGTTAGTCAGCGACAGTTTTTCACTAAAGATGTGAAACTGAAACAAGTGCGTACGAAAACAGTGAGACCAGTCGAAGATCAGTGCCGATCATACAACAAAACTTGACCTAAGGGTCAAATTTGATCCGATATGAGGGTAATCTAATAAATCTGCAAACCGCGGTAAATCCTTAATCTTTGGTGATTAAGGCTTTGTAGTACTGCGACGGCTGATGATTGTCGGACATGGTCTGATCCGCGACTAATGAGATAATCCAACAAGTGACTACTAATTGACCGGTCGCTCGAGACAACCGGACAAGATAGAAGTTGTTCCTATTAGTCGGGCCAGTTTCACCATTTCTCGAGAATCACTTTTCATTCATGTGACGTCGCTTTACTTATTGAAAATTCGTTAAAAGTAAGGAGTCAAGAGTTTTTCTGACTGTTAAGTATTTTTTCCCGTTTTTCGCTAAGGTGATTGTTGATCGTGTATAGCATTAATTAGTAGACATACTTTTGCTAATTATTACTGAATGATTTTTTTTTAAATACAGTCTAAGCTTTCTTCTTTGGTTACAAAATGAATATACTATTTACTATTAGGCTAAAGCATTTTTTTTCACGGTTAATTTAACTTTCTTTAGAAAATAGTCTTTAAGCTTATGTTTAGCGAAATTTGATTCATACTTGCACCGATCTTACTACCTACTCTATTTTGTCTCTATTTTTTCGAATATCATAGGACGATCTTTCACCGCTCATTCGTAAATGTGGCACCACGGACATTTTGCAACGAATTTGCCAACTTCACACTTCATCGGCCAACCGAATGCCCTGGTGGCAAAGCGTTTCCTCTTCGCCCTTGGACATTGCGGCGTTCGAAATGAATTTTTTTCGATTGGGCGGGGACACTTTTTGATTCAGATGTTCAAATTATGACCAAAATATAATTGTCCGGAAAATAATGCAGGGTTTTTTTAAATTTATTTTTTTATTTTTTTAAATTACCCCTATATGTAATAAATGGTTTATTTTTGCTGGATTTTTTTTTTGTTCGAATGTCAACACTTTTTAATCCTCTTCCAAACAAAATTTGTCTGTTTACCTCAGTAGCATTTTGTTACTTAAGAATAATTCAGTCTTTACTAAGATGTCAACGCGTGATTTTCGCATAATACCTCAGCATTGAAGACAAAAAAGGTCATGGAAGGATTTCTTCCCTAGATGATAATGTCCTGCGAGCTTTTGTCAAAGGAAATCCCAGTTCGAGAACTTGTAGAGAATCTTTCAGTTTGCAAAACTAAAACCATAAGGCAATTGGAAAGGTGAAAAAGCTCGAAAGTTTGGTTCCTCATTAAACGACCAACCAATCATCGTTATGAATTTTGCGTAACATTTCTTAGCCGAAACAAAAGGGAATCATTTCTGAATAGAATTGTTACTTTTGATGAAAAGTGGATTCTCTACGATAACAGCAGCCGTTCTGGACATTGGCTCGACAAAGGAGAAGAAGCACCACACTCAAGCCCCGAACTCATCACAAAAATGTGATGGTGACTGTTTGGTTGGCTTCACTTGGGCTTATTTACTATCACTTCTTGAATTCTGACGAAACAGTCAGATCTATTACTCTCAAATTGAAGCAATGCTCCACAAATTGGCATTACTGAAGCCATCTTCAATGAATCAATTGGAAAAGGCCGATTCTGTCACACGACAACCCTCAGTCCCATGTGTAACATGTAACAACCCGAAAACTGTTGTATCTTGGTTATGAGGTTCTGCCTCACCCTCCCAATTCTCCAGACCTCTCGCCTACCGACTACCATTTTTCAGACACCAAGACAGCATAAAAAATTTATTGATCAAAAGTCATTAGAAAATGGAGAATTTGTTAATAGTAAAGACTAAAAATTCTACTCAGAGAGTGTATAGAAGTTGCCATCACGTTGGGAGAAGTGCATTGAGAGTGATGGAGGGTATTTTAATTGATAAAAATGTTTAAAATCATTTATTTTATTATTTTTATTTTATAACCATAAACCTGAATTATTTTCCGGGCCTAGGTTTAATGTTATCACTTTTAGCTACTACTTCTGTAGCTTCTATGTTCACCTGCAAATGAAATAACTATATTTTTAGAATTTATTTTCGATTTTCAGGTGGTTTCAAGCAATGATACCTAGAGGGGTGAGGCATCAGCAGTTAGTCCTCACGATAACCATAGTTTGCTCTACACTCAGTTCTTCACTTCCGGACCGAAGCTGGTATTATACAAGTAAATGCTAACGGATCAATTCAACGTTCGTATCATAGTAAATAATGTACACCTTCATTACTTAAGTCTTCAAATTTGCTCTTAGAAGATTTTTTAAATTTTTTAAAAATATTTTTATTTAGTCTGTTCTGTTTTTGTTCGTTTCAAAATAGTAACATCGTTTTCAATTCCAGCCGGAGATTGGAAGAGTGGCGGTTTTCCTAAATTTCCCGTCTCGTCTTCAAACTGTGGTCAAAGGTCAGTTTCACACCAGCCGGTGAGAGGATCGAGCGGAGGGGCGAGTGCAAAAATAGTGGGCGGATCAAGTACTCCGTATGGAGCGTACCCGTGGCAGGTGAATTGACAAATATGACAAATATACCAAGCTCCCCAATGATATAATATGTAATTTTTGTAAACTTATATATTAATCTACAATATAAATGAAGAACATAGTTTATTGTAATATATTATGATATTTACAAATGTACTTTTTGATGGAAATTCTTGATAGTAAGAACATCCTAATGGATCTTTGAACTGCATTTGTTGGTCTTACATTTTAAAATTTACCAGCCCTTTATGCAGGTGCACCATTCTGTGCCAAGGGTTTGTGTGAAATATTTAGTCATTAGAAACACAACACATTGAATTTTAGCCTCATATTTATCAAACAGGAAATACAATTCTTTATCTGACCTATGCATTTGAAAAGAAATAAAGTGAAATATTACAATATTTGAACTTTACATATTGTTCACTTTCAAGGTTGAGATTCAGGCCTATAACACACAGAAAAGAGGATTTGACCATCACTGCGGAGGAGCAGTTGTAGGCGAGAGACTGGTTCTAACGGCAGCTCACTGCATTACAAATCTCGATCGCCCAGAATCTATGCGGCTTGTTGTTGGCAAACATGATTTGCGTGGAAAGGACAAACATGAAAGAGTCTATCGGCCAGAAAGGATTGTCATACACCCTGAATTTAGGCGAGGTGATAAACAAGATTAAATAAATTCCTCATATTATAATGAATACACATTAAAAAAATTTTTAGTAATCTTTTGTTATTTAATTTTTATCAATATAATCATTTTTTATTCAGATGGACCACACAGTAATGATATTGCTTTGATTAAAGTTAAAGCAACATCTGAAACAGGCATTGACTTCAATAAATTTGTCCAACCGATCTGTCTTCCTGAAAGTGACATCGGTCCTTCAGAAGGAGAATGGTGCACAGTGACTGGTTGGGGAGCGCAGAAACGTAACTATCCCAATGATTTTGTCAAAGTTTATCTAAGTTTTAATTTGTTTATTTGATTAAAGCTGGTGATTCGAAGAGCTTGTCAAGTACTCTCCGAGCAGCTTCTGTTCCTCTCTTGCCATTGTCCACTTGTAGACAGGCGGATGTTTATGGAGGCAGGCTCCAATCCATTCTGGATTCAATGCTGTGTGCAGGTCTACTAGAAGGAGGTGTCGATGCCTGCGAAGGAGACTCTGGAGGCCCGCTTGCTTGTCAGAAGCAAGGTGGTATTATTAAATAAACAAAAATAGCCCAGTTTAATTGCTTTTTTTTCTAGGGAGATTTGTGCTTGCTGGTGTAGTCTCCTGGGGTGATGGATGTGCTAAAAAGAACCGGCCTGGTGTGTACACACGGGTGGCAGCATTTAACTCTTGGATCAGATCAACAAGCGAGCGCCTTGGGCTGTCATAAATTTCACATAGACAAACTGATGATGTTACTTCAAATTTAGGTGAACTGAATGAATAGTTACTAAATCATATCAAATAATCATAAAATTTAGCTTAAAATTGTTGAATTTTTGGTAGGTTTTTATTATATTTGTACATTTAAATGTTATGTTGATTTTTATTGAAAGCTTTAATTTATTTAATACTAGTTTGATTCACTTATTTAGTACCATTAGAATACTTCTGAGTTAATAGCTTTTACAAAATGCTCTTACCATTCAAAAAAAGTTAAAATCAAGCATTTATTTTTTAAAATGTTTCCTCTAGTCATTAGCTGTAATAATCTTGTCCAAAAATTATGGCTGATTGAGAAAGTAGAATCAGCTGTAGTATTGTACATAACCTAAATCAAAAGTGTACATAATAAAGAATTTAAAAGAAAACAATTTATTTACATGCAACCATTTGTTTCCACTGAATCTTGACAAAATATTAATATTATTTAAAGCTAGTGTTATTAGAAATCATGTGTGATGATTATGATGATGATGGATACTAAGAAGTGGGTTTTATTCTCCAAGCACTACAGCCTTCCGGCTTATTGTAGTTTCCTAGTTCCTTAGTTCATGTAATCAATTCAATCCTTCATCCAAGACAAATTCAGAAGGACATCAGTCACAGTAATACGGTACACAGATGACTCCAAAATATGAAGGAACCAGATAAGGCGTTTTTTGGACAATTCGAAAACATAAACAAAGAAACTCATTAGGGAAGTCAGTGTTCAGTCTTTTAAGTTGAAATACAATTTTGGGTAACGGAAAAGCAGACAAACTGGCCAGATGAGGATCTGCAATACCAAACAAAGGCCCTTAATCTTTTCTTGGAATAACTAAAACAAACACAAATCACAGGATGGATCCAAAAAATACAAAAGGAGAAGTGGATAAATGCTAGAGTTGCTAGTCAGAGTAAGCTTATGCTAAAATAATCCTTACCAAGACTGTCAAACCGAACAGTTAGAGAAGGTTAAACTCAGAGGAGTGATAGGTTTATATACCGGCCATTGGCATCTAAGATAACAAGTACACAACATGGGCATGTTAACGATCCATTTGTAAGTTATGCATCAAGGAGGAAGAAACAGCCACCTATGTTCGCATGCAAAGCAACCGCTCAATGAAGACAACCTGGGATACATGAAGAAAACCAAGAGAACGATTAGTAGCAATGATTGTCAATTAACTAATAATTCATAAGAGAAGGATCAAATGGATTGCGCTGAACTAAGGAACCTGGAAACTACAATAAGCCAGAAAGCTGTAGTGCTTATGGACCAAAGCTTCCTAGTATCCATCATCATCATCAAAGATGTGATTTCTAATAAGACTAGCATTAAATAACCTTTATTGACTGAAATTAGGAGTTTTGATAGCTAGTCTCCACAAAAATTTTGTAAATTTTTTCCCAATTTTATTTCTATTGCTTTTTAAATTATTATTCTTTTTTTTAAATTCTAACATATCAATTTAGTCTACTAACACACTTTACACATATGAGCAGCTGCTATATTTTAACATTAGTTTAAAAAAATAAAAGGGGAGTTGTAAATTTACAAATTTGTTATGAACTGTTGGAAGAAGGTGTTTTCATCAAAGTTTGGTTATCTTACAGCTAGTGTTTGCAATGGTGTTAAAAAATTTGATTAATTTTTCCACTGCAGATAAGCGATTAATCTATTTTTTAATGATAGCAATTAAATATACCTGACAAAGATTACTGTCTACACAGAATAGGACCTAGATGGAAATGCGTGATAGTATTATTTTACCATGCATTTATACATAGAAAACTAGCTTTCCAAGCTTCAAGGGGAAATGCCTAATGGACTTAATTTAAATGCCAAACCCAATCCTATGGATTTACAAGAATAATACCTACCCGGGTGGCACAAAATTGGTTTCCTTACCTTCCCTGAATTTAGAATACTTGCTTTTAATGTCTGGCTGTGGATAAATAAATAATATAATTAATTAGATAGTAACTTTCGAGATGGCTTTTTTTATAATATTTCCTCAATAGGAATTTGTTTATTTCTTACAAACATCAACATTTTGCATTCTATTTTAAAGAGCGTTGATTTATTTTTCATAATCAGTCTTTTTTCATTTATTGATAACAGCATGAAACAAAATGTTTTAATAAAATTCACTAGTTTTCGTGATCCGCTTGACCAATTAATATCTTTCAATTAATTAAGGTTTTTAGTTGAGATAAAAAAAGTCAGTGTCACGAGCGGGATTCGAACCCACGAACGTCGGCTAGATACGCCGTTACTCTACCACATAAGCTACCGTGACTTCGACCCACTTGGTCACTAACCTCCCATCTTAACCCCACCTTTTGGATTTTCCCTCCTTTTTGCCGAGTATCAAATAGATTACACGACATTTGAAAAATGGCAAAAAGGACGGAAAATTCAAAAGGTGGGGTTGAGATGGGAGGTTACTGTCCGAGTGGATAGAAGTCACGGTAGCTCCAGTGGTAGAGCAGCGGCGTTATTTAGCACAAGGTCTGGTTTCGAATTGTGAACACTGACTTTTTTTCCACGAAACCTAATAAAGTAATAAGAAAAATGAAGTATACTTCACTATAGCCCTCCGTGGCCATTTCATTTATCGCTCAGAATCAAATAGATTACACGACATTTGAAAAATGGCAAATAAAAAGGGAGGGAAAGTTCAAAATGTGGGATGAGATGGGGAGTTGGTGTCCGATTGGATCGAAGTCACGATAGCTCAAGTTGTAGAGCAGCGGCGTTATTTAGCACAAGGTCGTGGGTTCGAATCCCGCTTGTCACACTGACTTTTTTTATCTCAACCAAAATCTTAATTAATGTTCTACTTTTTGTTGTTGTTAATTTCAGGGCCGGCGAACTACATTGGTCGTCGCCAGCCCTCTCTTTATTTGTTTTTCTTTGCTTTATTTCTTGCGTTAAATGATATTAATTTCCCTTCCTGTTTCTCTTGTTATGATCGGACCAGTTAGGATCTTTAACCTAGCATCTCTGCACCTCCGGGCGTCATCAATTGTGGATAAAAACAAAAACATCCGACACAAACACACATAAAACTGAAACAAGATAAAATATAATAGTATTCACACTACCCCTTGTCAAGCAGTCGATATTCCTCGAGGTAATTAGGTATAAGCTCTCTATTCACGCTAATAAATTACATTCACTCACCACAATTTATTAACACTGCCCTAGAGTACTCGTTATTCCTCGGGTTAATTATAGAAAGACTTTCCTTTTCGCTAATAAATTACATTCATATATCATACTTCATTCTCACTTCTCCCATAGCACTCGATATTTCACGGGGAATTAGGAATAAACTTTTCCATTCGCGCTAATAAATTACCTTCGCATATCCCAATTTACTCACGCTATTCCAGAGTATTCGATATCTGAGTGAGTGGCATAAGACTCTCCATTCACGCTAAGAAATTACATTCACACACCAGACTTCGTGCACACTATCACTGAATACGGATATTTCTCCGGGGTAATTAGGGATAAACGCCTTCATTGACGCAAATAAATTATATTCACACATTCATACTCTCTCTAACCCAGAGAACTCGTATTTCTCGGGATAATTGGAAATTCGCCTTTCCATTCACGCTAATGAATTACCTTCAAACACCTCATTCATTCACACTCCCTGAGAGTTCTCGTTATACCTCTAGAGAGCGCTCCATTCGCGCTTATAAATAGATCACTGCCAGTAAATAACACATACAAGATATGCGGGATGCCGTACTCCTTCCGTTGCAGGCTAGTCATTTGTTGACTATTATTATACGCTTTTCTAAAACCGGATACCTGCGTCATCCCTGAGGTGTCCGTGATCTTGGTTATGTACAACCAGGTAATACGCATTTCCTTTCTCCGGCGAGGGTCTTTTTTAAATTTTCACAGCCCGTAATAACAGAAAGTGATATTAGAATATTTCGCGAGAAGCTTCAAGTCAATTTTATACCGTGGTTTTACAATCAAAGCAAAACAAAATAATTTTAGCATTCAAAACTTACACTAGGAAACGTCGCAAATCAATAAGGAAACACTGAAACCAAAGGAAACTTTTTTTAACTTTATTTATATTTATCTGCAACTGTACATGTATTGTATACAACGAGCAGATTGGATTTCAATTTATGTTTGTTTGGCCTGGGGTAAAAATAATTTTAATTTGTTTCAATTAATTAAAGTTTTTAGTTGAGATAAAAAGTCAGTGTCACGAGCGGGATTCGAACCCACGATCTTCGGCTAGATACGCCGCTGCTCTACCACTTGAGTTATCGTGACCTCGATCCACTCGGTCACTAACTTCCCATCTCAACCTCACCTTTTGAATTTTCCCCCCTTTTTGCCATTTTTCAATCCCACTCGTGACACTGACTTTTTATCTCAACAAAAAACCTTAATTAATTGAGAGATATTAATTGGTCAAGTGGACTACGAAAACCAGTGATTTTAATTTGTATAATAATCCCTCATGCCATACTTTGTCGACACCGTGAGAAACATCTAGAAACAGTCCAGTTTCTGTTCGATACATGAAGGAATGAAATTTGTATCTGTGAACTTGATGAGCAGGGGAATGATGGGTTCGCAAGCCAAATTGATGGTCTGGTAAGATGTTGTTTAAAGTAACAATAGAGATAATTCTTTTGTAAATTAATTTTTCGAATAATTTAGAAAGAAAGGACAACAAACTAATAGGACGATAAGATGATGGGGAGCATACATTTTTATGAGGTTTTGAGATCATTTTAATGTAAGAAAGTTTCCTTTGAATGGAAAAGTGTGTAATACTCAATATTGCGTTATATAAACTAAAATAAACAGAAATAAACAAAATTTAAAAAACGACAGGGCTTTTTGCAACATCTGGTATTTTAAAGTTACAACGATGAATTGTGTTAAAAACACATAGTGTTAAAACAGTTGTAGAAACTGTAATACAACTGGGATTCAAATGGGGTCAGTTGCTATAACGGTTGAGTTAAATTCAGAAGTTTCTCGGAATAATTCACAGCATGGTGGGTCGGCGGGGGCGAGTTGGGCAGGTGAGCGGTGTGAGGACTCCCCTCGGATGATGAAGAGCATGGGCCAGCGCTCAGCTCGGTGGAGCATCATCAAATCAAAGCGGTCGCTTTTCATCCGGCAAGGAAATGTCCTCGTGCTAGGGGAACGGTCGCAATAATCGTATCCAGGGCTCGAATTCCTTTCCCAGTTGGATGGAGGCTGTAACGGAAATGGGAAAGGAGCTCCGACCGCAAGAACGTATCCGGTTTACGGCCGGATAAGAAGAAAATCTTACCAATTTGAACTGCTTTTGAGAAGCATAAAGGCAAACATTTATTGAAA